GTGTGGAGCACTTTTATGATGGATAGATGCAGTTTTATGGACTTCAAAACAGAAACGGCCATGCATTCACTGCCATTATAAAGCTTGAAAGAGCCGGGACAATTTTTTAAATAACTCCAATAGTAGTGGTCTGAAAGAAGAATGCCATATACACCTAGGATGACTTGAGGGTGAGTAAATAATGGGCTAATTTTCATTTTTGGGTGAACTATCTCTTTAATGCTTATGACCCCTTACAGCACAAGCGCAGCTGCCAGAGGTGGGCACAGCAGAGATCTGCTCCGGGCAGGGCTTCTTCCACACAGGCTAAATACAGCATACACACACGGGAAAGCTGTATCTTGTCATCTGCCACTCGCTCTGACACCCTTCCCCCCCATGGTGCATCGGTGCACAGTGCACACACGCACAAATACTTTTCAAAACGGACCGCTGCAGCTGTCTCCTTGAGAGCTGTGCTCTACTATAGTCCATTAAAAGCTCAGCGTGGTTTAAGGTTACAGTAGACGCTGCTACAACAATCATAAAGTCTCTATGATGGCAGTTGACTAGAGCTGAACTCTGACCTGGGAACAGGACGCAAACATGGGCACTGATAGATGAACGTGACCTAATGAGGTGATTCATTGCACTTGCACGTATAGAGGTTTAGGTATATAATATCACACCTATCACTTCCTGTTATGTAAATGTTCCCATCACTTCCTGTTATGCTTTCCTTGAAAGATTTAAAGGGATAGGCTAGTTCACCCAAAAATGGAAATTCTGTCATCATTTCCTTCTTACGTTTTTCTTCTGTGGAGCATAAACGAAGATATTTTGAAGAATGTTTCAAAAAAAATTTTTGTCCATACAACGAAATGAGACATTTTTCAAAATATATTTATTTGTGATTCACAGAAGGTGGACAGTCATACAGGTTATTTATTAGAGATTGTCTATAGGTGATAAACTATAGTCAAACTACACCAGCTAGAACAGTACTGCCACTTCAAAAGGAAGCAGAAGTGTAAAATCATGGCATTTGTGAGTCACCTCACCTGGCTAAATTGGGTATATAAGCATTTCCTCTTTGTTCTCCTTTCGCTATAACCTGCTTTGCAAACCGAGACGGTGTGCGCGCGCGTCCATCATCACAAACAGAGATTGAAGAGAGCTGATTAAAAACCACTGACTTTTGAAAGAATAACACAGCACCCCCGGCCCAGCTCCTCTCTTCCCATAGCCCTGGCTGTATTTGTGTATCAAGTTGCCATGTAAACATAACAGCTGCTTGGATCTGGGTTGCACGGAATTCCATTCCCATTCCTTTATTTTTCTTTGTGGTGGGTGTGTAACAAAATTAAAAGCTTGATTTGGACTACACTGCATTATGGGGCTTTGTCAAAACAAGTGAACAAATGGTTTTGAATTTGCCCACAGGTTTAGAGCTAATCTGTTCCTCACATGTGCATTACAAATCTAATGAAGATATAATTACCTACACATCTGTGGAATTTTAAGGTGACACTTTACCAAATATTGATTTCAGCATGATAAGACTTGGATTTTGCACAGTCAAAACGTTTGACTTAATATTAATTATATCACGTGACGAAGAAAACAACGAAGAGTCAATCTTTTAAAATTCGCCTACTTGTCTTTTTCAACTGTTAAATCATACTAGCTGTGATGAAAGAGCTGTCAAAAGACTCACAAATGACAAAAATGCCAGTTTTTGCTATTACATAATAAATATGTGAAGCCTTGAAAGCACATAATAAAGAGCTACACAATAATATAGCTACACAAAGCAAGATAGCCCATTTTAGTGAGGTTAAATTTATCACATTACTACCATAGAAACAGTTAAGCAATGATCTAAAATAAATTAAATGTCACTCACTCAATATCAAAATGCCTTATTCCTGCTCTTCTAAAAAGCACAGATCTCAAATAATAGTCATCAAAAAGTCAGTTTGCAGTAACTAAAGGTTTAATGATGTCATCTTACCACTGCATTCAAAAGTTTGGGGTTTGGCATTTTCTATTATGTAGTGTATTCCTAGGCAAAGCTGAATTTCATCAGCCATTAATCCAGTCTTCAGAGTCATCTGATCCTTCAAAAATGTGACCTTGTCGAATAATAGTAATCATTTGTTTTTCAAAAATCGTATTGACCCAGACTTTGAATTGTAGTGTATGGCTGAACAATGAATCAGTTTGGGTCGGGGAACTTGTTTACCTGAAAAATAACAGGTGGACGGCAAAAGAAGTGTTTGGGAAACCTGTATGGAAATCATCGTTTTTTGTTTTTTTGGAGGCAAAGGAATTAAACACCTCCTGTTACCGGGGCCCCCTAGTGCTCAGGGCCCTTGGTTGCATCCAGGTTTGCCCACTGGATTAAAGCATATGCAAAAGCAGGCTATGCAAATTTACATTTAAACACTGAAATTCTTTGATTATAACTGGTGTGGAGTCAGCCATGTCGAGGAAAGAGTGTAGTGTACCATCCTAGACTCAGACAGGGGGAGGTCTGAGCTAAAGGGAGCTTAGTGTGCAAACCAAACCTCTCAAAAACTAGCTAACTGGACATCACACAGCCCAGGGAACAGCGACTGGCCTCATCAATAATTAACTTCAATTACATGAATCATTCATTTCTCCTCCAGCCTGAACATGCACCTGTAACAACATATTTCATTACAGAAACCAGATCTTAGGCCTTTGGAGATGTTGCGTGGTGAAGATGCGTTTTAGGAGGATTTCAGAGCTCAGTGAAGCACCTGACAGTGGCAGCTTCAGCTGAGCTCAGGAGGGACCCGTCACACACAGCGACAAACACACTCCCACTCTGACAGGAAAAAAACGCTTCATCTCAAACATCCTTGAACCGGTGCTGCAGAAAGGGAGAAATAATCGAAACTATCCAAGCATGGTGTTATAGATAGTGAAGAACGGGTCGGCCAACATGATTTGTGTGTTGCATCAGGATCTGCCTCTCTCTCTATGCCAATTAACCTCATTATCAACTGCGCTTTCAGTGGCACTGACACTCTCAGCTAAAGAGAGATCAATAGAGAAGCACGGCCGAATAAGGGGCGACACCTGGACCACACGCTATTGTCATGAAGAGGGCTCATTACCAGGCTCTCTGCTGAGCAGGTGTAACATCGCCACGACGACACGATGCAACTCCAGAAAAATGACAGCAGCTTCGGATGAGCACAGTCAAGCTGTTGTCAAACGGTTAGCATCAGGCAGCCCGGATCTCATTATGACGACAATGCAAATACATCTCATTTGCTCACAATTACTACAATATGGCTTTACAAATCACTGACACATCTCTACTTGGTTACAACAAAGTTTTTAAAGACAAATTTTGAATATACTTGCAAATGGCAATTAAAACTGTGTTTTTTTTTAATATCACAATGTGAATAAAACATGGGAAATAAAGGAAAAGAATAGAAACTATTATTAATTATTATTATTAGTTTATATTATTTATATAAATTTATGCTGTTTAATATCTGCAGATTGTTTTTGGGTCAATGGCAAAGACTGTCCAATATTATAAAAAAGGAATGAAATGTTGAAAAACATTTGCCAAATTCAATTTTGTTTTAATTTTAGTTTCATAAATTTTTAATTAAATTAATTAATTCATAGCATTTTCTTTAAGTTTCATGTGAATGACTGTGCCATTCATGTAAAAAAAAAAATGCAATTAAAAACACCCTTTTAAAATTCCTTTTGCACCCTGAATAAAATAAAGATTAATTTTGCAAACATATGTTTATGGTAAAAAAAAAAACATTTTAAAAAAAAAAACAAATATGAATTTTCATGAACATCTAAGGGTTTTCACAGTGTTACATTTAATTGAAACTATGCTTTCGTCTAGACTAAATGTTTTTTTGTTTTTAAATGATCTTTGTAAAGCTGGAAAGGGGTCCTATGATTTATGATTTTCTTGTCTCATGAGTCATGACAACACAATAAAACGACTTCCTGCACGCTGACTACCCTTAGTAACCACACTAATTCTTTCTGTGGTAAAAAGTGGGTTGATTTAGTGATTAAGTTTTTAAAATTTGGTAATAATATTGGTAATAATAAAAAAAAAAAACTACTACACTTTCAATGACAAATAACGTGATTGACCCTTTTTCAACAGCCTGCAAAACATTTGATTTTGAGCTCAGGTAAGAGAATCCGATTTGTACGATGACATTTCTCTTCAAAATTACGTAAATATATTTGCATTCAATAATCTAAATAAACATAACATTCGTTGTAGGCTAAAGTAAATATTGCCAATGACGCTCGTTTAATAAGAAATGCATTACTTCTATCGGGCACCGCTATCCTGACTTTAGCAACCTGTTGATGCGTCCGAACCTGAAGCTTCTTCAAGCCCCAGCAGAGGAACATGACAGGTCTAAAAAACGGCATGTATCATTTTTGCGAGGTTTCTGTTCAAACTACAGACATTTAACCTGGACTCGTTCATCACACGGAACCAGGCAGGTCCACGGCAGTCTCTTCGAATCAACTCGCGCACTTCTACGAGAATATAAGCGATTCTTGAAGAAAAGCAACGGCGGAACAAAGCGCTTAAGTTGCTCCAGTAACACATCTAGCTGTTATTAAAACACTTCCAGCTTTTAAAGAAAGTTTACCCAGTTGGGTAATTGGTTAGCCGGTTAGCTCGTGAACTACCCGTACATAAAGCATATTAATCTTACAGACGTAACAACCCATATGTATGACATTCAGAGTACGAACAGCTCACTTGGATTTCTCCGCTATTAGTTTAACCGATCTCCAAACAAACTGACTGAAGTTGCCAAAGCAGATGAGCTAACCAACTAGCGTGCTAATGTGACTCTAATAGACAGCGAAGGAGATCAGGGCGTGAAAACACATCGAGATGTACATTACTCAACGTCCAGAGTCCGTTAAATTTACATTCAATTCATTTCGATCTCTCTAGGCAGTAAAAAGATATTCACCTCAGACTTTTGCTTAGATCTGCCCTGGCTTTACTGTTCTTTTCCCTCTCTCTCTCCTCCAGTTGCTGCTGCTGCTGCTGTTGCTGAGTGTTGCTCCCGTTGGTAAGTAACTGTCTCCACGACTACAGTCACTATGGCGAGCGGGGGTCTCGAGGCAACTGTTGCTACCGTCCTCTTCATACGTCAAGGGCTAAAAAGCGCGAGGGGAGGAGCCAACCTCGAGCCCCTCCCAACTAATTCTACTTCGGCCTCGGTCTCTGTCTCGAGCGGTTGATGTTGGATTCCCGCGGCGAGCGGCGCACTAACGCGCCTCGATACTGCTGTTCTCCGCCAAAAACCTGTCACTTTACCGCGCTAACGCCTGGGTAAAGGTGATGAAATGGCCAGGTTCTTTGGTTACATGTCTTTCCGCATGGGTTGCCAAATTACAGCTGAAAAAAACCCACAAAAAACAAATGGAATGCTTAGCTAGTCTATACATAATCTATTCTATACAACATTTACAATGTGTTATCTAAACAATTCATCTCTGTAAATTGTAGTAGGCTACGATATATAAACGTTTAAACTTGAATGGTTACTACGTTATTTCATTAACTGTCAGTGAGACTAGCAGATCAATTTCAAGCCTATTTCCCGAGAATCACCGCTTAGTGGCAGTATATCACCGTAAAACAAATACACTTATCCTCATCGGGAGGAGATACAGTACAAGCGCACTGCATGCTACTGTACTGTATAATGCTAACTATTTTTAAAACTAGTACCTGTCAAGTGTTTGAAAACATTTTGAAATGTGTTTTTGAACGATGTTTTTGAAAGAAGTGTCATACTCACATACAAGGTTGTCATACAAGGCTGCATTTAGTTACCATTCAAACACTTTATGTGTGTGTGTGTGTGGGGGGGGGGGGGGGGATCAGTGCATATTAACTCATGATAGTTATGGCTCTGGGGAAAAACTGTTCTTGAATCTCTTTGTGGTAAGATTTAAGAGAGAGAATGAGAGAGAAATTAATTATCCTTTATTACGGATGCATTAAATTAATTAAAAGTGCCAGTAAAGGCATTTATGGAAGATTTTCTATTTTTTCTTAATAATTGAATTTAATAAATGCAAATAAAGTTTCGAATCATCAAATATGGAAAGTATCATCATTTACACAAAAAGGTTCTCAATATGCACAACTGTTTTCAATATGAATAATAATGTGATAATGTTTCTTGTGCACCAAATCAGCATATTAGAATGATTTCTGAAGAATTGTGTGACACTGAAGACTGAAATAAATGAAGTCTTGGTGAGCACAAGAGACTTTTTAAAAAAACATTTTTAAAAATTTAATGTTTCCAGACTTTTGACAGGTAGGCCTACTGTAGCCTATATAAACATTCGACAATAAACATTGAAATAATTTTAAACAGTAGGCTATTATGCTGCATTGTTGTCATATCACCTCACTATATAATTTAGTGAATGGTGTTATTGTTATCATTTTGGAAATAAACAAAATGCACAAACAAGTTTTTGTTTAAAACGCATTCTGACTAGAATCTGAGTATAGTATGGAAACTTTGTAAAAATATGCTATTTTAATTTATAACAATTTAGTTAATGCTTGTTTTAATATTCTTGTTTATTAAACTTTCAGCAATTTAAATGTCCTAGAGATTTTTTTAACAGATTTCAACTGTTTTGTTATATAAAAGCTAAATAAAAAATTCTCACAAACGCTGCACCATGACATTTAGTTTTGGCGCTATTCAGATTATTTAGAATTGGGAAAGGCCAATTATGAATGTTTTATATGACCAAGAGTGAATAAAGCGTTTTAATGGGTATTGTAGGAATTTTATTTCATAGATTTGCCGTCATTTTCACCACAATTTTGCGTTTACTAATAACGTTTTAATTAGTGTACCTGGTTACCAAGGAGACAACATTGTCAGGAAAGGGCATGCTTGAAATATCCCATAGACTGTGGAAATATCCCAATATTCTCAGCAGCAGTGAACGCCAGGTGGCGCGTGAGAGCTTTGAGGGAAGTGACGGGGCGCGCGCAAGTCTGAATTTATCCTATGAATATTATAGAGATAATTGGCGCGCTCACTGTTTAAGTTTATGAGTAGGCGTGAGCTTCATGTCAACTGGCGTGGGGTTTCTGTGAGAGTCTCATTCACACACACAGAAACAGACATATCATCGATCGTGCCTTATGTTCCTCTCTCATCACGATTTACAACCGACTTCAAAATCAAATCTACCTTTGAATTTCAAATTTGCACAAAACTTGCAGTGTCAACCTCAACACTTGGACGTTCTGATATAATAAACAAACGGTGAGTATAACATTAAATATCTCTATGAGAATGTATCAGTGAATGTTATTTTAGTGATATTAAATCTGTGAGATCCATCCTCGAGTTAACTTATCTTTGTTTACAATAGCCGGCTAATTCAACTGCTGGGGTGAAACTGCGGGTCTGCGGCTCTGCAGTCAGACACTTCTCGGCTAATTAGCAACCAAACAAGACATTCCGGTTGCTCAGGTAACGCGTTACTCAAGTGTGAAACGTGCACGTATGATTGTCATCAGAGACTATTTTGTTGTCATATAATTTAGTAAAAATGTAATCTTAAAAATATTTTAGAATACCGACAAATATAAGTACCAATTGGTTCAGTTTGTTTCCTAGCAAGCTTTTGCACTAAATAAAGATATGAATGAAAAACTTTCACCATGCAGCTTTCAGCGACTTTTTAAAAACAAGTTTACTGAGTCAAAATTACAGCTCTTTTTTGAATTGCCCGGTATGGGTAAACCTACCAGCAGCACCCTCGATAGATGTGTACATAGCCTACTCTGCATTGATGATTAATATCGATGACCGTAATAACCTTCCTCGCGCCAGATGCTTTTCTGCGTCGGAAGCAGCGATAAGGATCGGGCATATTCGGTCACGTGATCGCATGGTTTTCCAGAGCCACGCCATCATTGGCTGGTCGATGGTCTGGCTATGGTGAAGAGGAACAACATCAGCATCAGCATCACCCCAGTGTCATTTAAGATTACATCTGAATGATTTACACTTGGTAGACATGTTTGCGTTGTAAGCAAAGCTTCCAGAGAAGAGTTCTCACTTAACAGGGTTTTAAGTCAAATGATAAGCTCATAATTTAGTATGTCGTTATAAGTGAAATGACCCACTGTATTATTTATGTGACAGGCCACGTGAGCTCACCGACTGAACTTCAGGTAGTTTCCTTGGTGTTTGAGAGTCTGACTCATATGGCTCAGTGTAAAGTAGTTGTTGTTTTTTTTTTTTTGATTGTTTCCCAATGACAAAGGGCCTGTCCCAATACCCTTATGGTCTTGGCCACTTGAGCACGTGCATGTCACAGGAAGCAAGTGTGCAAGACTGTCCCAGGTCAAAAAATTCACAAAAGCTCAGTGCATTTAGTGCACACTTAATCCACACAATCTCTTAATACCACATTTGAGGCTAAGCATATCCCATTCATCATATTCCAGAACTTGCATACCCCGAAATTGCAGGATTTTTAGGAAGACACTCATAGTGTAAGTTAAATACCCAAATATTGTATAAGAATTCAGAATTTTAAAAAATTGAGGTTTGTAATGAGTCAACAGAAATGTTGTCACGTGGTCTAGATTGGAAAACACGGGTAATAAACCATATGGTCGGTAGTGTTATCAGCGTCTGAAAGCAGTCGTTTTGGAAATGTGTAAATAACACATTCAAACAGTGACAGCTGGTTCAGATTTATTGACAAAATTATCTTTATTAAACAGAATGCTTAGTAAACTTAGTGAAAGAAATATCCATTTTAATATTCATATTTGACAATGCTTGTGCTCTAATTTGCATGGAGGGACAGTGATGTCAAAGTGCTTTCCTGTTTTAAAGGAAACTGTGCTTTTCCTGTTCATGTGTGCTAAAGGAAAAATGTCCTGTTCCTCTAAGTGAAACTGGGAAATGTGTCATGGGATAAAGACACAAAATTCAGGGTTAAAGAAAAAGTTGTAGGCTATTAGCCTACATCAACCAATATAGCATGTCTTCACATTAAATGAGTACTTAATTGTAATACACAGTTAAGACTTTCTAGCCAGATGTTTTCACATTACCTATTTTAAAAGCTCACGAAAGTTTTGGACAATATGGTTTCCAGGCTTGGCTGTTTGATAGCTTTTTGTTTGGCATCATCAGGAAGGCTAAGCCTTTGGTTTTGGAGGTCAGCCTTGATCTGTTTTTCCCTGATGCCGCCAATATTGAAACTTCCACTTTAAAACAGCCTTAAATGTAAAACAGCCTTTAATGTATTTAGAATCTGTAAAAAAAATTGTTTTGTTTTTGTTTTTACGAAAAGCCCAAAGAACTGTCCTTGCTAAATAAATTTAAGTCTTTGAGTTTGAGTCACTGTTAAAAGGACCCTACCTTGACATTATCAAAAGATTCCTCTTTTACGCAAGACCTTAACTCAAGAACTCACAGGAACATCTCTGTAGTTTTGTGCATATTGTTCTGTAATTTTTTTTTTTTTTACTGCCAAATTCCCTGGTTCACTAGTAGTTCACTTTTAAAAAAAACTTTTTTAAAAAGGCTGTTCTTCACATAATATTTATTAACTTTTAGGTGATACTACCGTTCAAACGTTTTTGAAATAAGTCTCTTATAATTACCAAGGGTGCATTTATTTGATCAAAAATACAGTAATGGTCACTTTTGGATCCATTAATGCATCCTTGATTAATAAAATGTAATTGAAGCAGATCATCTCTGAAATTACCAAAATTTCCCCACTATAGAGAAATTCCAATTTATGTCAATGGCAGAACCTCACCTTTTTTTTTTTTACTTCCTTCACAGAAATGACATCCTACTTCATAGCTTTAAAGAAACAAACCAGAAATACAGGAACGAGCTGTCAGTCTCAAATCTTCAAAGTCATTTGTGATTGTTGTTATCTAAATTTGTCAAAGGCAGCTTCAGGTTCATTCTTAGATAATTCCATTCCTTTTTTGACCCTTATTAGACTTACACGGCATGTATACATTTGCGTAATGCTTTTTTTGTCACGTAGGCTACAAGAGCAGCTCATTTTAGCTGACTTTTTCTTGCAAGATGTTCCATAACATTTTGGTTTTGGTTTCTTTGGTTAGATAAGATGAGCTTTAGCAGGTCAGCTGTGTGTGTGCTCATGCAA